ATCTTAAAACTTTGTCTCGAGCCCAGTTTTAACCTAAAGCAAAATTCTGAAAAATAGAACAAAGCCATCAGATTAAGCCTCCCTTTACTCTTGATTCTAACATGTTGCATGTTGTTTAATGAACCTTTTAAATCAAATTACCACAAAATACATTTAAATTTGGGAAATGTTTCACCAAAGGGGAAAAAAACAGAATACAGACTGAAAGAATGAAATTTGAAGCCTTGATATTTTCGTCATTCTGGCCCTTCAGTGGTTCCTTGAAACCAAATATGACAATGGTAGATATGCTGGGGATATATAAGACACTCCATGCTCACACAGTAAGGATTTATCAGTCACATAAGTAGCCACAAATGTAAACATGGCCTTCTTTAATGTTTAATTTACTCTAAATGGGACCATAATTTACAAAATGAACATAATGCTCTCTTACATAGAACTCAGCCCAGTAAACTCATTAGGAACGTTTTAACTGAGACTATAAATCAAGGTTGCGTTAGGGTCAGTTTCTCATAGACTTCTTTATGTAGTGGGAAATGCTATGTATACATTGTTTTGGTTTAAATTGAAAACCAAATATATTTTTTTATATATGGAAATGAATTTAAAACATCTTGATTATTGGACTAACATGTGTGCTATCAACAAGTCATTGGCAGGAGGCTCCAAAACCAGTCGGTCAAACCCTAATTTGTAATCAACTCACATCCAAAGTGTCTGTCTCTTCCCTTCTGTCCCTGGCCCAACAGACCACATTAGTACAGTCACACCAAGGACATCCATTATGAGTCACATTATCCTCTGCTTCAGTAATAAATAATTGCCCACATCCTAATTTACTCCCCATGCCTTCCTCTTCACTCACCACCGCAATCGGCTCTAGTGCCACTAGATGGCGACAGCACCAAGCGAAAACCCAGAGTGCACTTGACAACTTCTCTGCCTCCAGACACAAAGCCCGTGACATCATCTGCGAAGGGACAGAGGGTGTGCGAAGGACAAATGTCTTGAAATGCATTACATCATTCGCCACTAATATGATAATATATCTCAAGCAGTGAGTGCGGTGCCAAGCATGAGAGGGGCCATAATCCATACAACGGTCGCTCCGAATGGGAACAAGAGGATAAAATGGAAGTGCTGGTGAGGGAGGAGTGAAGGGGGGTCCACACTGGAGTCGGGAGTGCAATGCTGAAGGTTATTCCAGACATTATTCCTCAATGAAAACGGTAGAGGAGAGCAGGCAATAACCATAGTACATACTAAGCAAAGGAGAGCTTTAATGCTCTGTCTGTCTCCTGTCCTTGTCTGCCTTTACCCTGACAGAGCTTTGCTTTTTTTCTCTGCCAACACTTCACTCATTTTTCTTGTCATTAGTGGAACAAATAGTGAAGATGTGAAGAAAAAATGAGACACAGGTGGATGAGAAAGGAGATTTAAAGGAGGACTGATAAGTATAAGACGAGATGTAAGAGTTGAAAAACTGATAAAGACTAGACTTGTGAGACTTAGAGGAAAATTAAGAAGTAATTAAGAGAGATGGCAGATAAGGATAAAGAGGATAAAACAGCAGATATGAAAGGAGAACTGAAGCTATAGCAAAATCTGAAAAAGAGGGAGGGCGATGGCATAGTGGTAGGATGAAAATGAAAGAGGACAGGTGAAAGAGCAGGAGATCAAAGGATGCTAGAGAGATGAGAAAGGGACAAGATGGTTTGAGGAGAGAGCAAGAGGAGAGCAGAGGAGGACTAATGTCAGGTGAAAGGAAAGGTGTTGAGAGAAAATTAGAAGAATATTATCTGTGAGAAGGAGTGACAAGTCGAAGCAAATGGAGAGAAAAACAGACACTGAAAGGAATGGAGGGAGATCTAAACTGCAAGAGGGAGAGAGAAGATTTAAAACGATAATGAGAATCAGGGAGAGGAGATACTCAGAATGACAAAATGAAGCAAGGGAAGAGGAAGGGAAGACTCATTTCAGGAGACACCCCGAAATGAGTTTTAAATGAGAGGAGTGACTAAGACTCAGCAGCTGTTTGTTTTGGCTTTGTGCACTGTGCTCCACTGTCTCCCTCACACTCAGGTAAACACTATCACTCTTGCTTGTGTGCTATACATAGACACACTTACTTACTTTTCACTCCAGTCTGCTTGACATGAGAAACTGTCAAAACAACTGTTTGAGTGCTGTATACTGCCAGTGTGAGTATGACCTAAATAAACAACAGCACACAAGGTGCACAAACTACATTTAAAGTATTTTTAGCCCCATCCCGGAGTCTCATTTACAAAATGAACAAAATATAATTTTATAAAATAAGCTCTCTGAAAATTGGGTTTTGGTAGCATAAATAAAAGGAGCTTTTACCAATGTTCTTATGAAACCGTGTCTTCTTTTATTTTATTTTTTTTAATACTGTGAAAAAATAATTACATAGAATTTGAAAGAAAAAC